GAAAGTCACTTCTTCCAGCCGTGTATACTTTTTTTTTAGAGTTTCCAGTCATTCATTGTTGGACTTTTCATCCTACCCACCCCCTCCCCCCAATTCACACCTCTCCTTGAAAATAAAAACTCTTTCCTTGTTATGCAATCCCTCCCCCGCAAGTTCACTCTACTACGCAGCCTTCACTCTGGACTTCTGTAATGACAAGAATACCCATTCACATATCCCTTTTAAACAGTTCTATCCCTCATCTGTTTCAATACAATATACATCATTCCTGCCCTCTTTTTCTGTCTTCCCTCAACCCCGATGTCAGTCCCATTTTACAACCAGCGGCCCTATGCAATATTTGTCCTTTTGTGACTGAGATATTTCACTCAGCATAATGTCCTCCTGGGTCATCCATTGTCAGTTCATCTTCTTAAGAAATTTCCTCTCTGTGACCATCTCTTCACCTTTACAGGCATGATGCCTTTTTACAAGGACTGGCTCATCTTGACAACATGTGCCAAGTAAATGATAGGAAGTTTTCTAATCTTTGCCTCTTGGAAGCACCTTCCAAGAAGCACTTCTTCCAAAACAAATGTGCTTGTTCTTTAAGCAGTCCATAAAATACTCAATAATCTTTGCAAGCCCTACAATTCAAAAACATCAATTCTTCAGTCTTTCTTAGACATTGTCAAACTTCCACATGCATACAAAGCATTGATAATACCTTTACATACTTATATCATGCTTATTTTAGTCCTTCTACAGGCATCTTTGCTCTTTAGTACTTTAAAGAGGTCTTTGACAACAGATTTGCCAAATTTAATATGATTGATTTTTTATGGTTGCTGTTTTTCTTGGTGGTTAGTTATGGATACAAATAAAATTAAATCATTGACAATTTCAGGATTTTTCTCTATCTCTAATGATACTGCCTATTGGTTCAGCTGTGAGGACTTTTGTTTTCTTAATGGTTAAATATAATCCATACTGAAGGCTATAATCTTTGATCTTCTTTGGTAAGTACTTCAAGACTTCCTCAATTTCAGCAAGCAAGATTTTATCATCTTCACAATGCAGGTTGTTAATCTTCCAAACTTGAAGCCACAATGGTTTTCCACTTACTCTAATTTCTTTGAAAGGAATACAACCCTGATAAACACTATTTTAAGGAACACAGGATGCTCTGATGACCTAGTGGTAAGAATCAGCACTTCAGTCTCAAGGGCATGGTGGTTTGAATCTGCCAGCTGCTCCAGGGGAGAAGAATGGGCAATCTCTCCCATGCAATTACTGCCTCTGAAAACCTGCTGGAGGATCAGCTATGGGTTATTTCTTACTTAGTGTTACACAATAACAATAGGATGTCCTTCTCAGGAAGGGCCAATTGTTGGAGAAGAACATTATTCTTGGAAGTGTAGAGAGTCAGTTCAAGAGAGTAAGATAAGAGGGATTGACACAGACTGTGGAAATGGGACCATGTATATCAGAGATGATGAGATTGACTCAGGATAGGGCAAGGTTCATGTCCATTCATAGATCACTAGGAGTCATAGTCAGCTTGGCAGCTCATAACACCACCACTACACTGGACACAAAATTTGTAAGCAAACCAATTTTAAAAAAGAAGTAATACTCAAAACGGGTGACCCTGGAGGACATTATGCTAACTGAAATATCTCAGTCACAAAAGGACAAATACTGCATAGTGCCACTATTGTAAAATATGACTGACATTGGGGTTGGGGAGAGACTGAGAAAGATGGAATAAATTATGTATACTGCATTGAAACAGATGAGGGAGAGAACTGTTTAAAAGGAATATATGATTAGGTATTGTCATGACAGGAGTCTAGAACGAAGACTGCATAGTGGAGTGGATTTGGGGGGTGAGATTGTATAACAATGAAAGAATTTTTCTTTTACTTTTCAAAGAGACGATGAACTGGGGCCGGAGGGGTGGGCAGGGAGAAAAGTGCAACAATGAACGAATGGAAATCCAAAGTCTCTGTAAATTTTCATTAAAATTAATAATATAAAAAGAAGTAATATAAACAAATTTTTTTTAAAAGGTGAAAAAAACCCACCCAAAAAATCGCAGTATGTCCTTATTCTATTCAAATGACTGTTTCTTGATTAAGTATAAGTTCTGAATGAATGCAATTAAGTGTTTTGGGATTCCCATTATTCTTAATATTATCCATAATTTATTATGATCTACACACTGTCAAATATGTCTATGTAGATCACAAAACATAAGTAAACACCTTTGGTATTCTTGGCTCTCAATCAAGTTCCATCTGAATTCAGCAATAATATCCTTCATCCCACTGCCTCTTCTGAATCCAGCTTGAATTTCCTGTTGCCGTACTTCTCCCACTGTTTCTGAAAAGTTTACAGTAATATTTTACTTGCTTATGATACTAATAATATTGTTTGATGGTTTCTATATTTTTCTGAGTCACTCGTTTTTGGAATATACACAGTGTTGATCTCTTCCAGTTAATTGACCAGGTAGGTATCTTCCAAATTTCCTGGCACAAACTACTGAACATGTTTAAGGCTGTGTCTGTTTGTTGGAACACCTCAACTGATATTCTATCCATTCCTGGATACTTCTTTTTTGCCAGTATTTTCAGTATGTTTTGTTGTTCTTCCTTCAATGCCATTGGTTCTTGATTGCATTCTGCTTTCTCAAATGATTCCGTATCAATCATTCTCGTTGGCGTAGTTATTCTGTTTCTTCTTTCCATCGTCTTTTGATCATTCCTACATTAGGTGATATTTCCCCCATCAAAGCATCCAATAATACAACATGAGGCTTGAATTTTTTCATTAGTCTTTTAAGCTTGGGAAATGCCAATCATGTTCTTTGACTTTAATAACTCCTGATCTCTGCATCTTTTGTTATGAATTGTTTTATATTCTCAATTTGCCCTTAAAAAAATCTTCTGTCCAACTTCTCTTTTTAAATAATTTCTTCATTCACTTTATTTTCTTTCCTTTCAATTGCAAGTTTTATAATCTCTTCTGGCATGCTTTTTAATTTTTTTCAATCGCCCTCCACATGCCTTTTAAATGTTCTTTTGCTCTCTTCATGGATGATGTCCTTGATGTTTACAACTCTTTTGGTTGACTGCCCTTAGTGTTCAATGCATTAAGTCTGTTCTCAAAATAATTTTTTTAAATTCAGGTGAGATAAACTTAAGACCTCATTTAGGTCTCTTGGATTTATTTTAAAATTCATCAGCCACAGTTGAACTTTAATATGTGTAACTGATGTCTATTTGACAATAAACTCCCATGTCTTGTCCTTACTGGTAATATAGAACTTTGCCACAGTCTTTTTACACAAATGTAGACAATTTGATTCCTGTGTATTCCATCAGGTAAGGTCGATGTGTTCAATTGTTGTGTACCATCAAGTCAGAACCAACCAATCACTGACCTGCAGTGGGTTTACAGAGATAGGTGTGTGGAAGAGATTCTCCATCCTTCCCCTACCCACTAGGCCACCAGAGCTCACTATGTGTACCTTATTTGTAATAAATCAGTGAGTACATAAAATTCTGTCATGCAAACTTTGCCCTAATTTCTGTAACCTAGGCTTCCAACTACTACTAGTATTTCTTTGCTTCCAACTTTGCATTTCAGTCACCAATCATTATTAATATATCTTGATTACATGTTCTGTCAACTTCATTTTTTATTTTGGCTATAATGGTTAGCATAAATATTTTAATGCCATATTAACAAGTCTTTCTTGTATGTATATGTTGTTGTTGTTGTTATGTGCCATTGAGTCACCTGTGACCTGTAAGAACCATACATAAAGCAGCTCTGAACCTTGCCCTGTCCTGAGCCAGTCTCACTAATACCAACACACCAACCCTCATTGTCCCAGTGACTGTATCAATCCATCTCACCCAGGGTCTTCCTCTCCTACGGTGTCCCTCCACCCTTCTGAGCATGATGTCCTTCTCCAAGGACTGGTCTCTCTTGGCCACGTGCCCAATGTATGTGAGATGGAGCTTCAAAATCCTAGGCTCCAAGGAGAAACTTTGGTGTATGTATATGGATATTATAATTTATGGCATTGTCCATCAAATAGAACATAGGAGGTAATGAATCCATTACTGCTCTTTTCTGATCAGATCATACCTGTGCTCAGATATGACTATTGTGCTCAGTCATGTTTAACATACCACTTCCCAATATACTCATAGAGAAATTGAAGAAAATGTCAAGGAAAATAAATACAAGATGAGAATTGAAACCATGTTAAATGGGAAGAAGGTAAATATCTTAAAACTCTTGAATCTAGAAGTGAAAAACTATATAGTGAAATCCTAATAGCTAAATATTGTTATTGTTGTTGTTGATTGCCGTTGAGTTGAGCACGACTCATAGTGATTGCATGAACAAAAAGCCAGAAGCCCTTCCACAACCATTGCCATTTATCAAAGTTCACAGAATTTCCAGAGGCATGCTGTTTAGGAAATGGATGCCATTCCTGCACATTGTCAAATATTTAAAATATTCAACAATGTCAGAACTAAGGCCACTGGATAAATACTGCAGGCAGAAAGACTTCAAAACAAGAAACAATTTATAAACAGAACCTAAATCAGCTGCTTTTAGACAATGGACTTTCTATCATCAACTATGTTGTTGTTGTTATGTACCCTCATGTTGCCTGTGACTCATAGTGACCCTGTGTAAAATAGCTCTGAAGCCTCCCCTGTCCTGAGCATCCTCACTGATTCCAACACATCTACTCTCATTGCCCCAGTCACTGTATCAGTCCATCCCATCAGATATAGCTGACAATACTGGTAATTATGGTACAGATGGGTTTCTTAGAGGAGCATATTATTTAACAAGTGCCTCCCAACACTGAGATCCTGTATTTGCAAGTCTTTATTCACTGTCTATCCTCTGTAGAATGAATGGACCATGATAAACTGGAAGCTATATGACTTTTCATTGGCCATTATCATATCTTTCCATTTTGCTTGTAGACACGGTGGAAGCAGTGTTTGACTTCATTCAGAGGAGCCGAAGGATGATTGTTGTCTTGAGCCCAGACTACGTAACAGAAAAGAGCATCAGCATGCTGGAGTTCAAACTGGGGGTTATGTGCCAGAATTCCATTGCCACCAAGCTCATTGTGGTGGAGTACCGTCCCCTTGAGCATCCACACCCAGGCATCCTGCAACTGAAGGAGTCTGTGTCTTTTGTGAGCTGGAAGGGAGAGAAGTCCAAACACTCTGGCTCCAAATTCTGGAAGGCCTTGCGGTTGGCTCTTCCCTTGAGAAGTCTGAGTGCCAGCTCTGGCTGGAATGAAAGCTGCTCTTCACAGTCTGACATCAGTCTGGACCAGGTTCAAAAAAGGAGAAGTCGTTTGAAAGAGCCTCCGGGACTGCAGAGTTCAGGGAGGGCTGAAGCGTCTTCTCCAGCCCCAGTAACGATGGCCAAGCACAAGGGGAAGCCCTCTGCAGCCTGTCGCTGCTGTGTCACCTACTGTGAAGGAGAGAGTCATCTGAGGAGCAAGAGCCGGGCAGAGATTCATACCCAGCCCCAGTGGGAAACACACCTCTGTAAGCCTGTTCCCCAAGAGTCAGAAACTCAATGGATACAAAATGGCTCTAGACTGGAACCTCCTGCTCCCCAGATCTCAGCCCTTGCTCTTCACCATTTCACGGATTTATCAAATAACAATGACTTTTATATCCTATAATTACGGTGTGGTGGGAGGTGGCTGCTATTTTTACCAACCCCCTTTGTGTCATGAACCTATGGGAGTAATTGACATTTTTATCATCTAATGGACTGTCAGAATTGTGTCCTCTTTATTGATTTTTAAAAACTATTTATTTCTAGGAGACAAAAGACCTGAAGAACCTGAATCCAGAATTATTGCCTCTAATGGCCTCAGAAGAGCACACTCTTCTTGGGCCCTAGAAGGTCAGTATGTAGAAGATGCCTCAGGTTGTATCTTCTATCCTGTTCTGGTTTAAAACGTAGCCAATGATTTAAATGTGTATAGTTTCAGCCTGTTGGTCAACCTCATGTTGCGTTGTTCAGGTGTGCTTGAGTTACACCAATGATAAAGTGTGTGTGTGTGTGTGTGTGTGTGTGTGTGTGTGTGTGTATCACAAGGTAAGGTTGCAGGAAGAAGCTGGTTCAGGTGGAAGCTGTAGGACTATGCTCGGTAGGAAACCTACAGCACAGTTTCCTCCCATAGAACCAATCCAAGGATACCTGGTGTTCTCTCTCTCTCTCTCTCACTGTAAACTAGTGTTCTCTAAACTGCCTAATGTTGTTAGCATCAATAAAGCTATATTTTTTATGCCATTTCACTTGTACTAACACATTTTTAACTGCTTCTTACCTCTCTACCTTTTGTGGTTCTACTTCATTAATATCTAAGGAATATTCCATTTTGGGAATCTGAAAATTATCTTAAGTACCAGAGAAATGGAGAGCTCTCTTTCTAATGCACATTTAGAAAAGGCCACCAGACAATGAAAATCTTGAGAATGAAATAGAAGGAAACACCAAAACGTCAATCTATTTGTAGAAAGAAAAGCTGAGAAAGTCAATGTTGTTGGAGCAGAGCTTGATGCCTGAAAGTCTTCTTTACTCAGGAAGATGACGTAAAGTAGTAAATTTAAAGCCTATGAGAATCAGAATGTAACCAAACTGAGAAAAGAGGGCCAAGAAAAGGCATAATACTTCTGCTCGTAGGTGAGTATTCATGTATACAATGATGCAGGTACAAAAAAATATTTCTCTATTCTGAATTGTTTAAGCACAATCATAAAACCCATATGACATATCCTTTTAAGAGTGATAATAGGAAGCATTGAACTGCAGCTAATTCAGGGGTACATCTTTCTGAAAAAGGGAGTCAGCCTCCACTTAGCTCTAGTTGATTGTTTCCACACGGAAATCCAGGCTCCTAACTTTGCTATAATGCCCAGTTTTTAAATAGAATCAGAAAATTACTCTAAGGCTATCACAAGGAGTTTTCTTCTCCCAAGTTTTAGACAGATTGGACCTCTGGGCATGGCTGATGTGACCTAACATTCCCTTAGAGAACAAGCTGGAAAAGAATGTGCTTTCCTTCTATCCTGAAGTTCTCTCTCAGGTGGATTTACTTTAAGAACATTAAAAGTACAAAGATGGCTTATGGTAGAAGCTGCAGAATACCAAAAGAGAAACCTGAACAGTCACCTTCAACACATTAATTCCAGCTTCTAGTGAGCTTGTGAGTCAATGAGTGCAAACCTTCCTCAGCCTTTGTTAATGAGTACATGGTGAAAAAAGAAGACAGAAGTTTTATCCCTCTACTTCTCTTGGGAAGGACAGCAGAAGATTGCTTTTCTTTTAAAATAAGTAAACAGTGGGATAAAAGTGTTCCAGAGTTATATTACAGAATGTTTCTTAGACGTTATATCGGCAAGAGTTCAACCCACTCACATAACTCAAGAGGGAAGGCCAATTGTTAGAAGAGACCATCACGTTTAGTAAAGTGCAGGATCAGTGAAGAGAAGGGAAAGCCTTGATGAGATGGATCAACACTACAGAAAAAAGAAATGGATAGAAAATTCAACAATCATGAAGATTGCATAGGACTCAGCAATGTTTAATTCTGTTATACACAAAGTTGTCATGCATAAGTTTCTACTGATGGCAATAGCAATAGCAATAGCACAAAAGAGTAAATATATAAGTGTGGCTCACCACAGAACTGTAATTGTGATTGACAGGAATACAGTAGAAAATTACTCAGCACATTGTAAAGGAATTATTCGCTATTGTAACCCATCTTAAATAGATGAATCCATTCTTGATGTATGTTCTAAGATCTTCACTTGAAAGACAGTATTTTCTTTCCACAAAATCTGTTAACACTGAGTAATGTGACTCCAAATCCTAAGAAGGAAGAAAATACTCCTTCCCATAATAACTCTTATTCTTTATTACCACAGTATTTAAAAAAAAATAGCTTCTCTTGGGGAAAGCTGAAAAATTACTCTTGTCATTTATGGTTTATTTTATTAGTGAAGACAAATAAATGAAAACAAAAATAAACGCAACTAATGGCAGCTGCATAGAAATTTGAGCTCTTATGAAATATTGCCTAGGTATTTTTTGTGATCTCAAAACATAAATTATGGTAAGTATCAATTTCAGTCAACATTGTTAAGTATATATTAAGTAGTTTAAAGCCATAGGCTCCATCATTAGACATCTAAAGTTCAAAAAGATAATTAGCCATGGCTTAGAGGCTACTTGTGTTTCATCAACCCAAAACATGTATATCCAACCTATGTTTCAATGAAGCAGATGATACTAAGAAATTATTAGGTTAAATAGGCAGTATTGTGTGAGCATGAGTGTTAAGTCAAATAGAGATGGGTGTGAGTCCTGTTTCTTTCTGAAGCTGAACCCAAACCAAAACACCATCCAATTGCTGTTAAGTTGATTCCAACTCATAGTGATGCTATTGGACAGAGGAAAGTGTGCCTTAGGGTTTCTAAGACACAAACACAGATTGCTACATTTTTCTCCAAAAGAGTCACTGGGAGGTTTGAACCGTTTTCTTTGGTTAGCAGTTGAATGCTTCATTCACTGAATCACCTGTGCTCCTGATATCTCTCCTTGTTGTTATGTACCATCAAGTTCTTACTGACTCATAGCTGACCCTCCAAAGGGTTTTCAGAGGCCAGAATTGCAAGGAAGGAGGTTTCCCATTGTTTTCCCACAGAATAACTGGTGATTCAAACCTGCCTTTGGGTTAGAAGGGCAGCTCCTTAGCTCTAAGCCACCAGAGCTCCCTTGTAGTTCTTTATCTACGGTCTCTTTAAGTCCCAATTACCTCTGGAGTTTGGGTGCTATAATGCTGGAAAGCACAAGACCTGGCACTTCAGTAAGTTTTAGCCAGCAAGCATATACCCATAATGAAATCACTGTGGTTGTATTAACTTTAATTTCCATGATGATATATAGTTAGAAAAATTAATTGCATATATATCACTTTCTTAACTTTCATAAAAATCTTGGAAAAAAAAGCATTACAGAACAGGGACACATTAAGCTATTTCCTAATGACATTCAGCTAATTAGCAGTTGAGGTAAAGCTATAATCCAGGCTTCTGACAGCTGATTCTGTGCCAATTCTAGATCTGTCCCTATAAGATTCAAGTGAAAATGTTTCCATCACCAAGCCACCTATATGGAACTAGTTAATTTGAGCCATAATATTTTTCAAATAAAATAAGCAGTTAACTTAAACCTATACACAGCTAATTAAATGCTTTATTAAGTGTCTGGAATACCATCTGGCCTTATCATTTTATGATTTTATATCATTTCATTTTTAAATCTTAGAATATTTTAAAAGTATTCAAAGAGAATAATTGTTGGTGCCTTCTAGATTCTATTATAATGATATATATTTATAGCTAAGAAAGAAGTATTTTTTTTGTTCTTAATGGAAAATAAAAAAGTATTTTTAAGGGAGCATTGATGGACTAGTGGGTAAAGAGTTGCTGCCAATCCAAAGGTAGTTGGATCAAATCCACCAGTTGATCTGTGGAGGAAAGATGAGCAATCTACTCCTGTGTCATTTATAACCTCTGTAAACCAACTGGTGAGTCCACTATGAGTGGGTCCTGACTCAATGGCATATAACAATATGATGTATGTTGTTGTTGTTATTATGTGCCTTCGAGTCACCTGCGACTCATAGCGACCCTATGTACAACAGCCCTAAACCCTGCTCTATCCAGTGCCAATCGCACTGTCTCCGATTACCCCAGTCACTGACTCAATCCACCTCATAGAGGGCCTTCCTCTCCTGCGCTGTAGCTGTGCCATAATTACCTTCTCTCATAACCATACGGATTCGCTGAGGGAGAAGAGTGAGCTATCTTTCTCCCATGCAATTAACTGTCTCTGAAAACCTGCCGGAGGGTCGGCTATGGGTCAGTTCACACTCTATGGTACACAACGAAAACAACAACATAACTTCTAAAGACTCTAATAATGATACATACACTTTCACTTTAAAGATTTATAGAAGTTGTGAAAACTGAAGTTGCTATTCAGAAGGGTGTATGGATAATGAATTGATTAATTGATATGGATCTCTAGTGGCCTAGTGGCAAGAAGCTGCACTGCAATGCCGAAGGTTTGTGGTTCGAGGCCACCAGGTGTTCCGAAGGAGAAGACTGAGTCATCTCCTCCTGTGTGATATGCTGCCTCTGAAATCCCACCAGAGGGGTTTCAGCTATGGGTCAGTTCCGACTCTATGGTACACGACAACAAAAAACGAAACATAAAGATAAGCAGAATTAATCAACCCCCATAAAATGATACAATAAAATTAAAATAAAAATAATTGTGATTGAGTCAATAAAATTTATAGTGACCCTATAAGACAAAGAAAACTGTGAGCTTTACTAAAAGTAGTCAAGCACATTCTCCTTTAGTTAGTAGTTGATAGGTTGGAACTGTACACCTTTTGGTTAACCTACTTGGAGGATATGTTGTAGTACAAATCCAGGGGTAGATTCCTTCCTTGGGGCTGTTTTATTACAGTGCAGATATTATGGGTGGTGTGCTATTGAATAGACACTGATTGGAATGAATCTTGTGGTGTGGGAATGGAAAGGAACTCCATGGCCATTCCAAAGGCACATGATTTTAATCCACCAGCTGCTTTGTGGGAGAAATATGGGCAATCACAATAAAACTGCCTCTCAACACCTGCTGCAGGGTCACCTACTGGTTGTTTCCTAGTCTAAGGCACACAATAACAACCTTCTGCAAAGACTTCCATCGTCTGAAACCTAGGAGGGGGGTATACAGTAGTTAGAGCTGACTTGAAGACTGTGGATTTTAGTTTTCGGGTTAGACATTGTATGGGAGTCTGCACTTCCATTGTTCTTGGTAATTCAGGTAAGATATACATTCCATGAGCACATTAAGAAGGTATTTTCTATGAGACTCCTTCACATATTTTCTGTGCAATTATTCAGTTTGTAAGTGGAAGGAGCCTCAATTAGAGTTTCGTTCAAGTCTTCTC